AATATCTAAATTTATTGATTAGAAACAATCTAACTAAGTTGTGCTCGACGTGACTTTAAAGATTTAAATTCATCGATTACAGAATCTAGATCAATTTTTAAAAAGTATGAAAAACAATATGCTTTATCCTTTGAAGGAGAATACTCTAGCCAAGAAAATTGTTTAAACCAAATATGTTGAAATCGGCGATTCTGCTTTCCAAATGAAGACCTAGGATACTCAAGTTTAGGTTGATAATAAGGCCCCAAGTTCTCATAAGCTCGTCTAACCTCATCTCGTTGATTAACTGAATATTCACAAATTTTGCAAGCGTAAATCAATATCCAGTTCAATAGCAGTTGAATCAAATTCACTTGGTTTATTTGCTTGACGCATGGAAGGTGGCACATCAGAAAATGAGGTTTCAACAATATTGGATGTTGTACTACTAGACTTCTATTTTGATTGATAAAATGAGAAAAGAGTTTTTCCTTTTTTGAGTGGAGGTTTCATTATTTATAACCTAACAATTTTTTTAAAAAAAATTAGCACTATTTAATATTAAACCAAAGTATATTCGCAATAATTTTAAATATTAGGGTTTTTATACAAATCCTCAATAATTTTTATTTAGGCTTTTATTATTTTTATATATCATATATGTCCAAAAAAAACTCATTAAAAATTCAAAAACTAAGAGCAATATAGAAAATTGAACAAGGCATTATCATAAAAAAACTAAGAGCAACATAATATTTGTTGCATAAAGACAAAATTTCAAAAATATTGTTAATCAAATCCATTCTCAACCAACGAAATAAAAAACTGGTTAATTACACTTACAAAAAATGCTAGAAAAGTGGAGCTGCTGCTGGCTGTTGGAGACGACAAAGAGACGGTTGCTACCTACCTATTGGAAGATGTGATGATTGTTTTAGAAGATTTGTTCTTTAAACAAATACAAACCTATTGGGCTGCCTATCTGTTTTTTGGGGTAAGTATTGGGCTGCTATTGGGGCCGTCTATCTTAAAAACTAAAAAAAACTATTGGCTCTTATTTGGGGTTGGGTGGCTGGGTTGGGCTGGGCTGGGAAAAAAAAATTCTATAGATTTTTTAAATTTTGGGCAGGGCTACAGCCACCTTATGTTTTTAAAAATAAACCATATATTTTTTTTAGTGGCAAACATAATAAATTGAACAAGTTATAGTTATCGGATCGATCTATTTTTTTTGGGACGAAAAACACGAAGCGTCCGGTGAAATGAACAATTTGGATTATCAAAACAGGACCGTGATGGGCCTATGGACCCAAATAGCACCGGAGGGGATCCTCCTCCGATTATATTATGGGGGTGTTTAGGAAGGATTTTTTTTGATTTTTTTTTCACTAAAAGACAAATTGGTTATAAAACCAAAAAAAAAAAAAAACAAATTCAAACAAAATATCACATCAAACCCCATAATCATTGCACTTTTTCTCTCACAAACATTACATCCAATCACAAAAAAACTCAAATTCAACTATCTTTCCAAATACATTTTTTTTTCTCTAAAAATATCCTACAACAAAAAAAACCAAAAAAAAAAAAAAAAACCTACTTACCTAAAGAAAGAAAGAAATAAGAAGGTTTTAACATTTTTATATGTTTGTTTGTTTGTTCGTTTGTAGTTATTTATTCTATGGACATGGATGATTGAACCCTGAAAACTTTGTTTTCATAAGTTTTGTTAAAAGTAAAGATCTCCACTAAACAACCAAGTTTTGCTGAAGCATTTCTATAATATTCTACCAAGAAACAAAACCATCATCACTAAAAAAAAATACAGCCAAAAAGCAGCATTCTATACAAAGTATTTTTAGAAGAAAGGATCTATGATAGAAATAAAGGCACCAAAATACTTAAGGAATTCCTGTGAAGACATTGGAAAAAATCTTTCATTCTCTTAATTTAGTAGCCATGGGGATCTGCAGATGGAACCAACCACCTAACTCAAGTTTTGGTAGGCATTAGCTTTTTATTTTTCTTGGGTGCCAACACAACAAACAAAGTAGGTTACTCCATTGCAAGTTTAGTTATTTATTCATTTGACTGATTGCCTCCTCTCAATCATTAATATAATTTAAGTTCTGCTGTATGCAACAGATAAAATTTCAAGAAAGCTTTATTATACCCATATAAGTGAAAAGTTTTGTTAACCTCAATGGGGAAGAATAGTGTTAATCTTCCTAACTAGAGCACTCATTGGTTTACATTGTACATGACTAAGCTGTCTTAATCAATTTTCTTTCATTTTGTCTTTGTAAAGTTTACAAGAACAAGGAATGAGAAAATATTGCTATATTTCTGAATGAATGTTTTACAAGGATACATAATTGATTATATAGTGATATAGAGAAGCTAAACTAGAAAAGAATCAATATATAATATTCTTATGCTATGCTTAAGGATCATCAATCAATCAACTAGATTTTGCTGCAAAAATCTTCAATTAATCAACCATATTTAATTCTAATACTCCCCCTCAAGTTGGAGTCTGAATGTCATGAAGTCCCAACTTGCCGCTTAAATATTGAAATTGTTCCTTTCCAAAAGGCTTGGTGAAAATGTCTGCAAGTTGAGCTCTTGATGGAACATAGGATGGGGCAATAACTCTGGCTTGTAATTTTTCTTGTACAATGTGGCAATCAATTTCTATATGTTTCTCGTGTTTGTGAAAATTGGGATTCTTGGCAATGTGAAGATCTGCTTGGTTGTCACAAAATAAAGCTTGGTTGTCACAAAATAAAGCTGTTGGCTATAATTGTGGAACCTTAAGACCTTGTACAATGTGTCGTGTCCATGTAATTTCCAAGCATGTTGCAGCCATAGCTCGATATTCGGCTTCAGCAGATGAACGAGCCACATTGGTTTGTTTATTTGATTTCCAAGAAATTAAGGAACTTCGCAAAAAAACACAGAATCTGGAAATTGAACGTCGACTTGTCACACAACTTGCCTAATCGGAATCACAATAAGCTTATAGTGTAGGATCACTAGAAGAAGGAAAGAATAATCCTTGACTCAGGACACAGAATATACTATATCTGGGCTTGTCACTATTAGGTAAATCAATCTGCCAACTAATCTTCTGTGTTTGGTGGGATCATGTAATGGATCACCATCGTCAGGATTTAATTTTAAATATGCCTCCATTGGAAAAGATTTAGGTTGAGATCCTACTAATCCCACGTCGTTTAGAATATCTAACGCATACTTACGTTGGGAAATGAAGATGCCTTTTTGGGATCGAAAGACTTCAATGCCAAGGAAATATTTTAGATTACCAAGATCTTTGATGTGAAATTGTTACAAGAGGTAATCTTTGTGAGACTTGATTGCATGTCCATTATTTCCTGTGACTAGAATTTCCTCCACATAAATAAGCATGACAGTAAATGTGTTGCCTTCGGGTTTGGTAAATAAAGAATAGTCAGCCTCTAATTGGGTGAAGCTTGCCTTTTGAATTGAGCAGGAAAATTTGGCAAACCAATTGCGGGAAGCTTGCTTTAAGCCATATAAGGATTTATTCAGCCGACATACCCAAGGTTTTAAAAAGCGACCGCAACCGTTACGTAACTACGTAACGGTTTTGGTGGTTACCGCCACCCGTTACGGCCGCTTTTGCAGTGTGATTGAGATTCACAGGTGTGTCGGCTGTAACGACTGTCGTAGCGGTCGTAACGGTACCGCAACATTCATAACGGCCTGTTACGCACCATTACGTAACGGTTCCGAACTGTTTCTTTCAAAAAAACACACAAAAAAAAGCTAAAAATGTTGGAAGAGGGATAGAGAGAAGTGGGAAGATAAAGAGAGAAGATGGAGGAGCAAGAGATAGAGAGAGAAGAGGAAAGATAACACTACAACAAAACTAACTATTCACGGGATCATGTTTATGTCATGCATTAAATGCATGTCTTAGTTAGTACATTCTACGACATTTTTTTTTTGCAAGCCGTTAATGTTTTGTCAATAACAACATACATACCATGTAAATCGTTGATTCATATATTTATAGCATGCAAAAGTATGCCATAAAAAATGTATGTTTTTACGACTTACAAAAATATGCCGTAAAATATTTGCACTTACGACGACATACATTTCATGTCATAAAATATTATAACTTTACATGGCATGCATTAACATGTCGTGAAAACTTTTGCAAAAAAAAAAAAAAAATTCAATTCAATTTTTTTTTATGGCATGCGAAAGCATGTCGTAAAAAATGTATATTTTCACGGCATATAAAAATATGTCATAAAATATTTGTACTTACTATGACATACATTTCATGCCGTAAAATATTATAACTTTATACGACATGCATTAGCATGTCGTGAAAACTTTTATTAAAATAAATTTCAATCTGAATTTTTTTTTTGATTTAAAAAAACTAACAATTTCCAACCAAGCTTCTCACCTTACATTTTCCTAATTGAGGGCAACGTAAAAAACGTTATTTTATAATTTAGTGTCTCTGTTAAGGGATAATTGCACCCCGTGGGATTTTGAGAAAAAAAATTACATATTCATGAAAAAGTTTATAATTTTAATAATTAATATTTATATGATTTCTCATTAATTTGTAATTATTTTTTTTTTTAAAATTACCTTAATTTGATATTTTTCCTTCTTTTAATAATTTATTTATTTTTTACTTTTTAGATGTGCCTAATCTGAATACAATTAAAAAATAAAATATAATATAATATATATGAAATGTATTAGATTTTATATATTTTTTTTGAATTTAGTGATTTTTTAAAAAAATTAAAAAATATTTTTCTTTTAAGTATATGTAAATTATTTGAAGTTAAAAAGTAAAAAAAAAAATTATTTAAAATATTTAAAAACTTACTCATAACATTGTCCCGTTACTCTCTCACTCACTCTCTGGGTCTCGATCTCTCTCTCTCTCTCACAGCCCTCTCTAAACCCTAATCTCTCTCAACCGATCGAATCAACCTTTTTTAGACCCGTTTAATCTAATCTCAGAGCGATTGGTGATTCATCTCAGATCCAATCTCAGAGCGATTGGCAATTTCGATTTTGAGATTTTGAAGCTCCACCGCCTACACCATCTGCACCGGCGAGGGGAGCGAGCACCATCGTCTACTAAGGTGAGCACTATCGTCTCTGTCTCTGTCTCTCTCTCTCTCTCTTTGATTCTTCGATTTTGGCTATCAATTCCAAAATGTAAGGCGATTTTCATATTCTATTTTTTGTTTTGATAGATTTTATTGTAGTTTTTCTGAAAATTTGTTACACTTATCAGTGATTTGTGGCAAAATCACAACTTCTTTGCTCTTTATTCTCTCACTGTTGCTTACTGTGTCTTTTCTTGATTTCAAATTGCATCAATCTCCCAATGTTAGGATTCATAGATATCTCTTTTAGTTCGTATGAGAAATTTATTTTATCTGATTCAATAATCATCAGTCTTCGAAGCTCTTTGTCTTGATATCTCGTAATCGATGGCTTTATTAGAATGTATAAAGCATTTGATTCAGTTGGGATGGGTTGAATCTTATGCCAGTGATTTGATTGCATGTCTTGTGATGGATTATTCATACATGATTTTTTTTTTTTTTCAAAAAAGCTTTGACTTAATTAGAGGCTTAGATGGATGAATTAAGTGTAGAGTTTGTTGCTGATGGAGACAGATGGAAGCAGCTATGGCTGGTTCAAGTTGAAGGAATGGTAATTGTGATAACAATGAAACTGTTTCTGAATTATGTCCCAGATTAGATGTTGATGGCTTTAGAAAATAAACGACTTTTAGGAAGTGAGACAATTACCTTTTTTAAGTGCTGATAGACACCAGAGTTTATAATATATGAGAGCAACAAAGCTGTTTTAGAATATGACTTTTGGGAAGCATGACAGTTGTGAGTCATTTAGCTGAGCTTTATTATTGCTAACCAATCAGGAAACAATGTCTTTTAGGGACTTGAGACCAAGTTCACTAATAAATTACTTGTCATTGATATCAAACAACTATGACTTTTCTATAATAAATCAACTTATATGTATCTTTGATTGTCTCCCACAAATGTATGAACTTGTGGTTGAGTGGTTGTAATATTGTGTGTAAAACTGGAAGATTGGTGGTAGGTGGTCTAGTTATTAGGTGCATTTGTTGTACACCAAAACGTACATAAATTTTGTTTCTATTTTGGGTGACTTCTTTTCATTATCCTTTGGCACCGATATGGAAGTAGCTCTCATGACATTGATTGCCTGACGGGCATACTCTCTCATAGTTGAGCACATCATCAACTAGCAAATTACAGTGTTAATGAGTAAATGATCTCCACTCCACCTACTATATTTATTGTATCAGTCATGACCTTATATGTGCCAACTATAAATTTATTAGAAATTTTTATAGATTTTTTTATTTTATTTTTATGTATCATAAGAACTCCATCTATTTAACTTTGTAAAAAAGTCACAATGCATAAAGTATGAGTGTCACGCATTATTTTGAGTTTGTTTCTTATTATTTTCCCTTTTTCTGTCTTTCTTTTGAGGAACATTTCATTCTCTCTTCTAATAGTGTTTCTTCACTAATTTACATGGAATAATTTTCTCCTCCATTTATTTATTTATTTATCTTTTACAGGGTAAAGTGTGAACATGTTTGAGTCCTAGAATGAGCTCCTACTTTTTAAGGGATTTATAGGCAGCAACTTGGCTGGATTCAGTCATGTAAATATTAAGTCCGTGTGTTTACCATTATGCTTCAAAGGACACTGTAATGCAAGATAGTGATCATATAAATTTGCTTCCATTTAGCGCTTGTTGATGTTGAAATTATTTTAATGTCATGTTCAATGACCCCAAATATACCTAATACTTAAAGGCAACAAACAAATTAATCCTATTAAACAGAAAAATTATTAGTTTAACACCATACCAGGTTCTTAATGTCCGAATTCCCTGTATCATATCCAAGAGATTACCTGGGTCAAATTAACCCTTAATGTCAAAATTAAATACACAGTATGGTATAAAAGCATCAACTCTTACGAACTAAATTGGTATGCCCAACCAATAGTAGTGGCTAACATCAATTCCTAGTAGACATATGTATGGTTTATATAATTTAATTTATTTGTTTGGTTGACAAGAAATAGAATTGTAGTGCCCTTATTTTAAGTTTAAGAGTGATTCATTGATCCTCTTGTGTAAATTGATGACAAAAGTTGATCTCTTACCTCCAAGTGTCAAAGATTTGCAGTTCAATCGGTTTTTTAAAAACGGCAAGGAGTTTAAAGCTTCCATTGTCAGAAGTTCTTTGTTGTTAATTGCATCCTAGATGGAACAAATACACCGTCATATTAAGGAACAAGTCTCAAAAGGTTCATTGATGAAATATTCAGAACTCCATAGCTTTCTATGTTGTCTATGGCATTCAGTTTACAAATTCAATTTTCTTACTTTTCCAATTGTCTCAAAAAATGGCACCTTTTGCATGTGATCGCTAATTAAAAAGATTAAGCAGTGATATACTTCTTATGAGCAAAAATATCATCTCAACTATTGAATATTATAAGTGAGAAAATGTCATAAAATTTACGAATGGCTTCTTATGCAAATTTATTTTTCTAAAATGAACATGTCACTTTATAATAAGGATCCCACCTCCCTATTGTCTCTGCCTCTTATTCTTTACTTGATGAATAATAATTCTGTGGGGAAGTGATTTTTGGAAATACTCTTCTGATCCTGGGGGACGCTCGTGATCCACTGATAGGCACCTGAAAGGAAGTAAACACTTCGGTCGGGGGTGCCGGAATTAGCACTCCGACGGACAAGTCAGTCTCCCGTTCTAGATTACTTGTATTCTAAGTTAAACACCACAATTAGCACATACCTCTTTCTGGTTGATGTCTCTTCTATTTATATCTTTTCTTCTTTGGGCCTTGGGATTAGTTCCAAATCCAACCTCCTAATCGACATATTTTGTAATGAACCAATCTTCACTTGGCCCCTTGCTTAATCGACTATCTAGCCGAATAAGGTAGGGTCCGAGTTTTCGTGGCAATGGCCGAATGTTCCAAATCTTGATTCTTCAATGTTTGACTCTCCGGAATCTCTACGACTCCCAATATTCGGCCCCCATAATTGCCCCCCAAGCACTCTACTAGCGGTAGTTGGCTGAAGTGTTTGGCTTTGAACTCGAAGAGTTAGAGCCGAAATTCGGCGGCTGACCATATTTCAACGCGAATGTCTGTCCACATGCTTCTCAGTTATCATTTCAACTTCTCGCCTCTTCGTACACTCTCATTTGTTGTGATTTAAAATTTTGACGTCTTTTCAAATAGATACACGCTTTTAGACGCCCGTCGCTGGATTGCCTTCCGAACTACCTCTGCGACCTCCTACTCTTCTCTACCTCCTTCACCACTTGTAAGTTCTCTTCTTCTTTGCTTTGAATTTCTTTCCTTGCTTTGTTTTTTGGCTTAGCATAATCATATTGGCTGGGGAGAATGGCGAAACATTTAAAAGATCTCCTCTCACCGGATCGAATTTCTGGCTTCCAACGCCATTTTTCCATCCTTGATAACGTTCGTCTATCTTTTGTGGCAGACGACACCCTTGATATGGAGAGGGTTGATGAAACCACAGTCGTCTTCCGTCTTCTATCAATCGCAGAGGGCGGTGTCCGTTTTCCCCTTCACCCACTCCTTAAGGCCATGCTTTGCCATTGGGAGTTAATGCCTTCGCAGCCCAACGTCAATTTCTTTAGGATTGTGATGATGATTGTCGCACTAAACCACCGCCTTGGGCTTAACCTTGGCATCCCCGCTATTCGGCATTGCTACGCCTTGGCCAAGTCTTCTGGTCGACACGGGCGTTATTTTCTTAGAGCCAAAGACACCGACCATCAACTAGTGACTATGCTTTTCAGCTCTGGGAAGCGAGTCGATGATGTTATGGTCATCGCCCAAGGAAATTGGGAATTCGGCGAAGGTGAGGATCACCTTGATCGTATTCCTAGACGGAGGGGCGAACTAGGTGGCCGAGTATCATCTTTTATTCATTTGTTAAATTTATAAAGCTTCATTTTTGGGATCTTATGGTTTTGCTTTTGTAGGGAACGATTTGAAGAAAATCTTGACCTCAACTGACGACGTCATCCTTTCAGAAATCAAGACTGCGCTCAAGTACTTCGGCCGACGGAGTCTTCAGAAGTAGTGGGGCGGCCCACGTTCTGCTCCGCTACGAGCCAACTTATACGACCTTTTCGGCAGCAGAAAATATCCCAATTTTGATCGGTGAGGAGTTTCTTGTTGCCCGTATCTTGACTGACTTCAAAAATTTGAGGCAAGTTGGTTGCGAGGAATCAGATTCGGAGCGACCGGAAGTAGTTGAGGCCGCCGAATCAGACGAAGCTGAAATAGAGGTTGACGAGGCATTGAAATTAGCATTTGAGGAAGTCGGCCTCAATTCGGCTGATAATCCGTCCACTTCGGGTCGAGAGGACCGTCCACTTGACGATATTTTTCAGGGTCTGGAGGATCTTCCCGGCGCGTACCCAGAAAATATGGCTGGGCTGAGCCTCACTAAGCTTGCCAAGAAAGCGAACGCGAAAATGATAGCTGCGCGGCGAAGGGTGGAGGAGATTCGGGCTGCCGAATCTCAATCTCAATCTCAGTCCTCCCTGCCCGTTATTGAGGAAGTGACGGCAAAAGGAGGGAGCACCGAAACGGAACCCTTGGTGCAGGCCAGTGTAGAAGCTGAGAAAAGGGTGGAGAAGCGCCCTACCGATGTCAAGGCCGGCTCAGAAGAAGATCGCGCCGACAAACGGCCTCATTTGGAGGAATCAGATGTGATTGTACCTTTTGTTATTCAGCCGAAGATGAAAAATACGCCGATCTTCTCCGATGCTTCGGTAATCAAAGATCCAGCAATTGCACTTAGTTTGGCGACGTCCGTTTCACTATCTGCTAATAAGGCGACTTTTCGGGTGGAGCCGGATCTGGTTGCAATCGCGTTGGCCGAGCAATCGGCTCTTTTGGTACATATCTTGACTCTGTCTTTTCTCCTTACACATTATTTTGGTTTTAACTTCCTGTTTTGCAGACCGTCAGAAGGATAGCCGACATAGGCC